AACAGCGAAATCTCCCCAACACCAGAATGTGAGTGGCGAAAAACAGCTGTCTTCTTTCCTGCTCACATGATGCCCTTAACTGTCTCTTGCCTTCATACATTCACAGTCACATTCCTTGTTTTGCATTCTTTGTTTCTGCCTCCCGCCTACTTTGCTCAGGGCAGACCTCGGGGGAATGGCAGCTGATCTGAGCTACACTTGGCTCCCCAAACCTACACTGCAAGCCAAGAAAGATAGAGAGAATGAGGGGAGGGGAAACAAGAGAGCAGAGAAAGCCTCCTCCCTCCCCTGAGTCAGCAGTTATGTGACCCAGCAGGCAGCAGTGTAACGATTTCATCATTTTCCACCAAAATTGAATTAGTTTGAAGCCAAAATCAGATTTGTGAGCCCAGCACTCTTGACAGCAAACCCTTTACTTTGTCAGGCAGCTGTTAGCTGTTTCCCTCAGAACTCGGAAAAGGAGAAGGAGGGGCTGCCTGGGACAATTACAAATGGATGCCTGTGCACAAACTACTCCAGGTGGGTGCAGCTGAACCACCTGCTCCTAGAACGCAGTCCCATGCCCCTGCCGCACCTGTAATTTATAAGAGGACGGAGAAGGAGAGAGAGTAAGTAACTCAATTTCACACTCCTCCTTCTGCTGGACATCTAAACAAGACAGAGACCCCCATCAAGCTGCTGGTTCATGCCGCAAGCCCATGCACCCATCTCTGGAAGTCATGCCTTGAAATGCACCTGCCTCTGAATGCAGAAGCATGAACACTCCTAAGAGAGAGGAGAAGTGGCAATGCCTCAGTCCACAGCAAAGGCTGGCAGATTGTGGCAGCAGAGGTGCCATAGAGCAGGGGTGTCAAACTCAAATTCATCAGGGGCTGCATCAGAACGGCCGGCGCCGCTAGAGGGCAGACGTTCTCTGGCTTGTAGGCTGCCGCGCATGCGCTGAAGAGGCGGCTTTCTTGTGTCAAAAAAAAAAAAAGCGCGAGAATAAAAGGTGAAGGCTGGTGGCCGGCGGCGGCTACATGGGCCACATGATGAGGTCTGGCAGGCCGGATTCGGCCCGCGGCCCTTGTGTTTGACACCCGTGCCATAGAAAGAGGGTGGGGGAAGAAGGCTACTGCTCCCCCTCCCTCCCGCTCTCCCTGGATTTCAGATTAAATTATCCCTAGGTGCAAGGAAACCACAACAAATGCTATTAAGATACGCTGCTTCTCTGAGGCTTAATCTTGAAAACGTCCAAGCCTTATAATTTTGCTGGGTTTCTCTCTTTCCAATACCCCCCAGCCCCAAGACTGGAATACTCCTTCCCTCCTCCTTCCACTTTTACTCTAAAACCATATCCCTGTTATTATTCGCTATTATTATTCACACGCACCTAAAACAGCTAGGCACTTTGGAAATTTATTTTTAGAAGCCACACTGCTTGCAAGTTTACATTATAGCACATATAACACAGAAAAAAGAAAGGGGGGGGAATAAAATAGCGGAGGAGACCAATCATAAGATCTGTACTTAGAGCCAAAATGCATTTGTTTCAGCATCCTTAAGGGCTTTAAAATTCCACAGACTACAAAGCAGCAAAAGCATTACCGTCAGCAGCTTCAACTGCTGAAAGGAACCACAATCAGAAGTTAGTTTCTGTTTGGGAACCACTCATTAGGTTTTCCCTCCTGACATGTGCACACGTCCCTCAAGAACTATGTACGAAGCACTTATTTACCATCCGTAAGGCACCAGGGGGCTCAAACCAGAAACTGTAGCAACAAGGCTTCCTTGGAGGTTTTTAAAGAGAGGTTGGGTGGCCAGCTGTCGTGGATGCTTTGGCTGAGATTTCTGCGTTTCAGGGGGTTGGACTAGATGACCCTTGGGGGCCCTTCCAGCTCTAAGATTCTATGAAGCACAGGAGACTTACTTCCTGCACTAGAATAAGGGCAGCTCTCAAGCTAAGAGAGCTATTGGTCTGATCTTTGCTATGTACTGCAGTGCCATACAGATAAATGGCCAAACAGGGGTACTGCAGCTCATCAGTGCAGCCAGACCAGGTGATCTGTGGAGCCAATAGTGGCAAACATGGGAAGCTGCCCTAAACCAAAACAGTGCATTGAACTGCACAGGACCGTCTACACAGACTTGTGGAGGTTCTTCAGGGTTTCAGACCGGAGTCTTTCACAGCTCTACCTTGAGATGCTTTGGAGTTGAACCTAGAAGCTTCTGGATGCAAACTATGAGCTCAGCCATTGAGATATGATCCTTTCCTTACCTAAAGCCTGGGTGGCTTTACAGAAACTGAGGAACCATCTAAGCAAAGCAGACTCACTTCCTGCTGCCCTTTGGAATGCTACGGTCTGCCCAACCTCAGTGGCATACTTGATTCTGCCCCCTATGATCTCTGTCTGTTGCTTCAGACCTTGATTTCAGCCAGACTTGGACTCACATCTGACCACTTTCAGGCCTGGCCCTACAGGACCCTGACACCATGCCAGAGGGTTTCCACTCATCCTTTGGGGAATCTTTCCTAAAAAGAGAAGGAGGAAGGGAAGAAGAAGAGGTGTCCAAACCATGGCCAAGGATGGTTCCTGTCTAATTTGCCAAAACAGACCTCCAATGCCCCTCTCCCTTTGTCTCCATTACTCCACAGCAGCTGTAAATCATTATTTATCATATTGTGAGGTGGAACAGAGCCATGGAGATGTGGATTCAAATTCCTCACTCAGCTATGAAACTCACTGGCTGAACTTGGACCACATGCTATCTCTCAGCTACAACTGCCACGCAACTATGTTATGAGGACCAGAGGAGGCGAGGTCCTATGTATACTACACTGAGCCTTACAATGGAGTGTATTTCTCATGAACATGGGTTTATTGGCATAAGGAAGCACAGTACAAGCTCTTATTTCATGCTTTGTATCTCTGATCTCAGCTGTTCCTATCAGAGCTGCTACCAGAATCACAACTGCCTACAATACGATACCAATTCTGCCCTAGACACCCACTTATGAGCCCAGTGTACTACCACTCCATCCATTGGCTGCCAATGTAATCCCCACAACCAGAATTCTGTGGCTGACAGGAATCATGGGAAATGTAATTCCTATTGACTTTAAATACGTGCAGCAGCATCTAGGAATACATGAGCCACAGGAATTACACATCCCATGATTTATGATTCCCAATACCATACATGCACCTATAGGAACATAAGATCTAAAATCTGATATGTTTATCGGCCCTGCTGATGTATTATGTTTTTTGGCTTTGTATGGTTTTGATTTAATTACAATGAGAGCCTGCTGATTGGAGAACAGAGAAAAAAGTTTCTAAAATAAAATTTTTAATCTCGAGGTCCACTACCATTGACACATAGAGCTATTGTTTAGGGAGGCTCCAAACCTACGCACGCACGCGCGCACACACACACACACTCAACATTGTGCTTCTTGTAAGCCATTAGAAATGCATTTGGAGTGGGCCAGGTCTTTAGCTGAATTCATTTACAAAATTTAAGCAGACGATTACAATTTGGAGAAGGGTCAGTAGGCTAAATGGATCCATTAAGAATCAGCCCAAAGTCCAAAGTCCACTTGACTATATGGGTCTGGGGAGTGGACCTACGGCATCTGATGTCCAAGCTCAGATTCTGCCACAATTACTATGTATATCTCCTTGCGTTCAGCTGAGAGTTTTAAGTGACATAACTATACCAATTTTCTACAACTCGTGATATGTCCTAGAAATCTTAAAGTTGCCCATTCCACTCCCATTTTGAAAGATCTTTTACACATTACTCTCCTATCCTCACTGCAAGTAGCTGAAATAGCCTCCCAGTTATATCTGATATTGTCTGAAAAGGAACCCAGCTATGGCTCATAAAACAAAGCAGGCTTCTTACCCTGCCTTGCCAAAGACTTAACACAATGGAACAGGGCAATAAAGCTCCTCTGTTTGCCATAGCAACAGCCTATGGGAAATGCTTCCCTCAGGATAGGCAGGCAACTTTCCCTCTGTTGAGAAAGAACATATCCAGACTCATAACTCTGGCTCGCTCCCATATCCCCCAGGGCAAGAGTTCACTTCTAATTGGCCTCAAAACCTGACACTCCAGTTGTGTTTCATATACACCTATGAATTTGGAGAGTCCTCTCACTGCCAGTACGAAGCTGCTATCTGTACAGCTGTCCTGTTCTCACACTCTCCCTAAACTACAGAGGTAAGGATTTTGATTATCCCGATTTGGAATCAGACAGAGGATAAAACCAGAAAACAAGAGTCCCAGGTAGAGTCGGAACATCATCCTGGCTGGCTAATATTCCTGCCGTATCATTATGTGGTGCTGAGAGGGCACCATGTTGCACCTTGAATAGCACTTCAAATCATCTGCAATTGTCATCACATCCGTATATCTAACAGTTACTTGGGTCTGTATTTCCAGCAGGACATATCTCCTATACATGGACACCTGCTTTTTCCCTAATTCATTCCAGTACTTGTCATGATGGTAACAGTGGAAAGTAAACTCAGGTTAGAATAAATGGAACATCAGCATGTCTGTTAGATGGTTAGTGGTCCACATGCTCCTACTTATTGCCTTTCTTCTCAATTCAATCCTTCCGAAAAACTGTCTTGGCAAGAATTTCTGTGCAAAGAATCTCTAAAACACATTCCAAAATCAATGCAGTCCCCATTCCTCCAGCATAACAAACTTTATTTGGATAACTGAAGATTGGGAGAAGTCATTCCAGAGGCCGGAACTTCTCAACACCCAATAATTATCCTCATAATATCCTTAGGATCTGCACTGGGGCTTAAAACTCCAAACACCAAAATACTGTAGCTGAGAATAGAATGGTCACATGCTAATTGAAACAAATCCCAGATCTTTAAGCAACATCTACAGCTGCGCACTCAAGGACACCACAGGTATCTCAGCTGATGCTTTGGATTTATCAGAGCAGAAAGGAAAAGGAGAAATGACAAAGTAGAAGGAGGAGGAGGAGGACTTACTGAGTTTATGCATCCCAACTCCTTGTTCAAAAGCCAAGGCAGAGAAAGCTTCCCCTCCCCACGATAGCAAGACTGGATGCGCTCCTTGATCTTGTCTTTGATCTTCTTCAGTGTGAAGAGGCAAAGGACAGATTCCTTTGGTGGCTTCACCCTGTTCTTCTGGCCCTGAGAGAAGATGGTGAAGAGGATATCCTCCTGCTCTGAGATGCCCAACTGCTTGGCCAGTGCCTTTCCGGGCTTACTTAGGTAAGCGTCCTGAATCAGGCGATATTCAATGCCATCACGAATACAACCAATGGGGAATTCCACATATGAGTAGAACTTGGGATCATCTACACACAGCCGAACAACCTTGGAGGTGAAAAATTGCTCCCCGGTGGAGTCAGGCGAGGTAAGCTGGGTGTCTAGTTGCAAGGTCAGGTAATAGACAAACTGCTCACTGCTGAAGCTATAGATGTAGTAGATATCAAATGTGGGGAACTTGGACAGTGTATCTGATGGAATCTTGAGCTGGGATGAGACAAACTCATCCTGATAAACAAAGCCAAACATCTCTGCATTCTCTTCACTGGCCATCAGTTTACGGCTGGACAGGGTAGGGAAGTACTCAGACTTGCCATCAATGGGTGTTCCAATGAAGAGCTTGTTTTGCCCATTCGGGACTTCAATGATGACACCTGACATAGTTCCTGACTCATTGACACTGGAGAGGTAGTGCTCCTTGCGATGATGGGGCTCACCCAACTTGAAAAGGTCGTCCAAGCGCAGAAACTGGCAAATGCCCTGAGAAGCACTGCCACAGGCTATCAGTCGATTCCCAGAATAATCCACCAGCAGCAACTTGTTGACATTGTTGGTGCTGACTAGCCCATGTGGACAAGACTGCACACTAGGCGGTGGGTAGCACTTCTCATTGTCATCCACGGGCCCTGTGACATGAGTGCGCATCAGTGTCAGATCGTCTGCAAGCTTATAGATCCGGTTGACAGCACCCACATACACCTCCCCAGTTTTGTTGTGGACTACCAGGTGTGTCAAACTCCAGTCGGTGACCTGGAAAGTCCTAAAGGGAGAGTTGGACTTGGGAGTGCCTTCTTCCAATGGCAGCCAAGCACTCCCCAGAAGCAGCAAGGTCCAGATATTGACCGACAAATGGTGCTTTAGTCTCAGGAGCCACATGGCGAAAGAATCACATCCAGCAATGGTTGTGCATTAACCTATCCACTGGAAAAAAATGAAGCAAAACAGAAGGCAGTGGAGAAGGGAAAGGAGCTGTCTGTGGACTAATGTCTCCTCTTCTTCCACCAGTCTCCACATTCAGGACATTGTGGGTGCCGGCATCCTGCTCAGTCCTAGAAGGAAACACAAAGCAAGCAAGGTTAGACAAACAGTTGAGCCACTCAGAACATAACAGCACAATAGATCCCCACAGTTACAAACATCTCAGGAATGAAGGTGGTTCAGATCTCTGAAATGTTCAGCTGTCTTGGAAGAAGCATTGCACAGAATTTGCTAATCATTCTACATTCTTCCCATTTAAGTTCCCATGACCATTTTGTGCATTCACTACAGAAAATAATTGCTGAATTGTTTTGACATCTTAGGAGAGCTAAGATTGTTATCAGAAAAAAGACAATATAGGCTTTCCACATTTTCTGTGTTTTTATGGGGCCATGAGCCTTAGAAGCCTTAAGCTTGAACTCACAGTATAAAGGGAATAATAGTGTTATACCTTTTGGCAAAAGCTCCAAGAGAGACAGATGAGAGAGAGAGAGAACTTTGAAGATCTGAAAATGGCTTTAAAAAATAACTTAAATGACTGGGATTAGATCCTTTATAACCCCTATTTTAGCACTTTTCAACCTTGCCCAGATGTCTTGTCTTTCTGGGTATCTGTACTATCTAAAACAAGATCCCTGTATTACAGTGTTTTCTTGAAGACAGGTCTTTCATTGCACCAACTGAGATTTGGCAAAAAGACTATCTCTGATACAGTGATATACCTCTATATTTGTTTTTCTAAGTTCATAGTACTGAAATTGAGAAACGCAAAAGAACTGATCTCTTTATTAAGCAGAACCAGACAGAAGGCCTTCTCGGCAGTGATGCCCACCCTGTGGAATGCCCTCCCATCAGATGTCAAGGAAATAAGCAGCTATCCTATTTTTAAAAGACATCTGAAGGCAGCCCTGTTTAGGGAAGTTTTTAATATTTAATGCTGTATTGTTTTTAACACTCGGTTGGGAGCCGCCCAGAGTGGCTGGGGAAACTCAGCCAGATGGGCAGGGTATAAATAATAATACAGTGGTACCTCAGGATATGAATGGGATCCATTCTGGAGCGCTGTTCGCAACCTGAACAGAACGTAAGACGTGACGGCACGTCTGCGCGTGCGCAGGTCACGTTTTGCCGCTTCCGTGCATGCATGTGACATCATTTTGAACATCTGCACATGCACGAGCAACGAAACCAGGAAGTAACACGCTCCGTTACTTCTGGGTTTCCGCGGAGGGCAACCTGAAAGCGCTCAACCTGAAGCACATTCAACCCGAGGTATGACTGTATTATTATTATTATTATTATTATTATTATTATTAAATAATGGAATACCTCTGCATACACATTAGTATGACAAAATAAATGATAAAATCCTATCTGCTCTTAACAAAGAATCTGACTTCCTTTTTTAAAAGAAAAGGAGTTACATGTTGTGGAGTGCAATCAAATGCATGACTACATAGAAGTAATTTCCACTGCATCAGCAGTGCCTCATGTGTCCAAGATTGCAACCTCAGACACTGTATGTGGGTGTAGAACTTTCCACAGAGGAGCATTAGAGGTTTTATAGGGAGCTTCAGGGACAGCATCCTTCCTGAGTGTCCTGAGATTTCTTTGGTATGTGCCGGCTAACCTGCACTCACAGTGCATTATGAACAAATGTGTCTACATCATGTTCCACTCCTGGGGGGCCCACCACCACCACCAGATCTGCAAAGCCAGTGAGCAAGCTCCCTATCCTTCCACAACTCCCCAGGGATGTTACAGCCTTTCTCAGCCTCCACCCTAATCTCCCCTTACACCTTCATGCACTGTTGCTAAGACTTTGGCCCAAAGACTTTTATTCTACCCACATCTTCAACACAAGCAGGATTCAGTGTACAACTAGAGCTCGCTATTCCAAGTAATTCCGTATTTGTGACTTTTAAAGACAGCTCTCCACCCTTGAAGAAAATACTTTTAAAAAGCACTTCCTACACATCCCAACAGCACAAAAGATCCCACTAAAATAGATTTCAGTAAGATATTTTGCTTCTTGTCAATATTTGTGGGACCATACTGTTACCTCTCCAGCTTGACCAAGTATTTAGCTCCACTAGGAGGCTGGCAATGTCCTGCCTACCCATCCATGACCGACAAGCTACAGAAGGCTGCCTTTTTATCTTCAGGGTTTTCTCTTTGCCCAGGCAGGGGAGTATTCTGACCTTCCTCATTCTCCTAGCACTGGACAGCCTTGAGGCTGATCCTAGATTTCCAACATACTCCTAAAGGTCAGAACCAGTCTTCAGGCAAAAGGCGGGGCATGGGAGGGTTGCACATCGCTTCAGCTTCCACCTTGAACACTGAAGTTCACTAGAGTTATTTTTCTTCAATTGCACAAAGGGAAAGAAGAAACTTGTTCTTTCTTCCAGTTTGGTTAGACATGTCAAATGCCCCCAAAGGACATAGCTGCACACAGCTTACACGAAGGGCAACATACATGGAGGCAGAGAATCTTGGCTACACAAGAGCCCATACTGTAAAGTTTAACCTCTGGCTTCTTTAGCCTGTGCCACTGAGATTTTTAAAAACTCAATTTAGCTCATAAGGCAACAGATCTTGGTCCGTCTAGCCCAAACATAGGCCCTTGGAGATGAGCAAGATTAAGGCATCCCATAGTTTCTTCACGCCAGGCATTGGAAAGGGGAAAACAGTAAGAGGGACCAACATCACTTCTCTCCTTCACCAGAGCCTGGTGCAATATGAGGTTTGAACCTTTCACCCACCACCCCTGCACCCAGTTCTGTATGAATCAGAAGGCAGAAGGGAGGGGAGGGAGAGATCTGTCACACTCAGCAAAAAAAGTCAGTCACCCCAGCTTCAAGTTCCTGAAAGCTGCAGAGAACTTGAGCAAGCAGTGGGGACTATTGTGATGAGCATCTAAGACAACAGTGGCAGGCACAGAGGCCAGGGTATCCACCTTTTGCAATGTCTGAGCAAATCTGCCGGATATTATAGTCAAAGCCCAAACCTCTGGTCTTCTGGTTTTAGCACTGAAATCAAGACCTCTGCTTTTATGTTTAGATCCAGATTATGAAAGGTGAGCAAAATCAGAAATCCATGCAATCTTTGTGAACTCATGGCATGGATAATCTGTTGGACCCCCAGTATGATCACCTAGCCTAGTATAAACACCAGCCTTTCAACTTCCCTTGTGGAAACATTAATGGGAATAGCCTTCGCTAAGTACTGAATGGGCCATCCAGGATTAATAATTTGCCATTCACAGACTTAGCATACAAACTTAAAGGTAAGGAATTTTGGCTCACATTGCTTTGCTGTAGGTAGCTGAAAAAGAAGACAGAGCTCGCTTCCTTATGACCTGTTTATTGAGCATTCATTCTGATTTGTTTGCACAAAGTTTGCAGCGTTAGATGAAGTTGCATCAAGCAAATGCTATCCCATGCTTTCCAGAGCATTTTTCCTGTCACTCTCCTTACCGCAAAGAGTTCAGTTTGCTAGTGAAAGTGTGTTTGTTATGCAAGAGCTCCAAATCAACTTTAAATGCGGGACCCAAATTTACCAGTATGTGACTCAAATCTCACCCAAAATAGAAAGAGCCTGAAAGAACCCACAGCTGATCAAAGCAGCAACCAATTCCTTTCACTAGGAAAATTTCCACATACCGTACTGAGAGAACACTCTACTAATGTCTTCACACTCAGCCCTACACCAGAAGAGAAACAAATTTCATTTTTTTCCCTCTGGGTGGGGGAGCCTTGCTCCTGTAGAGAGGCAGTTGGTGGAGGGGGAAGCTGCTCGTTCCCCCTTCAAGTTCTTTTTCTCCCACTACCAGTAAACTCACACACAGAAGTGGAAGTGTTCATTGCATTTCACCATTTACCTAATTGGACTTTAATGTGCTGAGTGGTTGGCCATTAATGAGATTTTACTTTTTATAAAGACAGGGAGAGAAAACAAAGAGAGACTATCACAAATGAGGAGAGAAATAAATGGTGACAATTTGCAAAGAGGTAGGGCGGCTGTTCGAGTAAGCAGAGAAAGTTAGAATTATGGGATCTGACTTCCAGTTCTGACACTGATTTGCCAAGCAAGTCTAAATGATTCACTACCCACCTGTGTTTTCCCCACCCTCCTAGCTGCAAAACAGGGACAAATGCAATTCTATGGATCCACAGAAACACTATAGGACCTCTCGTATTGCCTAGAGCCAAAGTCGCAAGGGAATATACATTTATGTCTGATATTTGGATGCAAGAATCTATGTAGTATTCTGTATCATTGACCTTTTTTAGACATTTTGTTGAGGTTTGATGCTGAGCAGGCAGTGTCTCGAACGAAAAGGAGCTAATATGATATAAATGTACAGATAAAAAATAAATGCATTCTTACCCCTACTCCCCTACAAAAATACACAGAGAGGGCACAGAGCTGTGAGACAGACACTCGATGGAAGGAAATAGAGAAGGCAATTATCAATTGCAATTAGAAAGGACAGAGTTTTCCCCTAAGTCACAAAGATAGGGGATCACAAGAAATCCTTCTTGAAGCTTACTCCTTGTGCCCCTTAAAAAGGTAAAGGGACCCCTGACCGTTAGGTCCAGCCGCGGACGACTCTGGGGTTGCGGCGCTCATCTCGCTTTACTGGCCGAGGGAGCCATTGTACAGCTTCTGCGTCATGTGGCCAGCATGACTAGGCCGCTTCTATACTCTAAATACTTAAATTCATGTTAAACCATCACCCACTTGCCTGCTGAGCCAGATATGCTGGGAATCATTTCCCAAGCAGTGATCATAGGTGTTGGGGTATTCAGCAACAGCTAGTGTCTTCCCACCACCACCCCATTCTCATAAAAGGTATCCTTCTTACTAACAAAACACACACACACACACACACACACACACACACACACACCTGCAAGCAGGATGTCTCTTCTAGGGACAGAAGCTCCAAGCAAAGAATTGGTTAGGTGATACTACACAAGAAGGATTTGGTGATAAAGCTGCACTTTCCGCCTCAGCCTTGCAAAGCGATATCCCGTTGAAATCCATTTGCTACTCTCCGTCCTGCATC